TCTTACAAAGTGACCCTATTGAGCAAATGTACTGAGTTACATAGTACCTCAGGGGTGTATTAAGTGTTAAGAAAATGTCTTTTAAATGATTGAGTGAACGAAGGTCATTTGGTCACAAGTATCTGGTTGGTCCTCTTTTTGTTTTACAGGTGAGAAGGTCAAGTACTAGATTTGTGATAAGCCTGCTTTAGACCCTGGGTCTCTTGTCCCTAATCATCATTGAGTAGCATGCTATTTGCAGATGCCCCTGTCATCTTTGTAGGAACTTTTTTTTTAAAATATGTCAGAGAGAGGAAAGGAGAGGGAGAGAGAGAGAGACATCAATGATGAGAGAGTCACTGATCGGCTGCCTCCTGCACGCCCCCAACCAGGGATCAGGCCACAACCCGGGCATGTGCCCTGACTGGGAATCGAACCCCGATTGCCTGGATCCTAGGTCGACGCTCAACCGCTGAGCCACACCTGGCCGGGCTGTAGGAACTTTTGAGTAGGCTTTTCCATGAGTAGAGGTTTCTCGGGATGCTAAAATCAAACAACCCCTAACAAACTGGTTGAGTTGGTCACCCTAAGTGTCACCCAACTAAACACACAAAAGGCCATTGTAATCAAAACAGCTTGGTACTGGCATGAGAACAGGCATATAGATCAATGGAATAGAACAGAGACCTCAGAAATAAACCCATGCCTTTATAGTCAATTAATATTTGACAAAGGAGGCAAAAGCATACAATGGGGTAAAGATAATCTATTCAATAAATGGTGTTGGGAAAATTGGACAAATACATGTAAAAAAATGAAACTAGACCACCAACTTACACCATACAGAAGAATAAACTCAAAATAGATTAAAGACTTAAATGTAAGTCATGAAACCATAAAAATCCAAGAAGAGAACATAGGCAGTAAAATTTCAGACTTTTCTTATAGATCTATCACCTCAAGTAAGGAAAACAAAGGAAAAAATTAATAAATGGGATTATATCAAACTAAAAAGTTTTTGCACAGCAAAAAAAAAAAAAAAATCAACAAGATGAAAAAGGAGTCCTCTGTGTGGGAGAACATATTCACCAATGATACATCTAATAAGGAGTTACTATCCAAAATATATATAGAACTTATACAAATCAACACCAAAAAATAAAACAATCCAACTAAAAAATCAACAAAGGATCTGAATAGACACTTCTCTAAAGAGGACATACAGATGGCCAATCGACATATGAAAAGATGCTCAACATCACTGATCATCAGAGAGATGCAAATTAAAACCACAATGAGATATCACCTCACACCTGTCAGAATGGCTGCCATCAATAAATCAACAAACAACACTTGCTGGTGAGGGTGTGGAGAAAAGGGAGCCCTCATCCACTGTTGGTGAGAATACAACAGAATGCTGTGGCCGCTGTGGCAAACAGTATGAAGTTTCCTCAAAAAATTAAAAATGGAATTACCTTTTTACCCAGCAGTTCCATTTCTGGGAATATATCTGAAGAAACCCAAAACACTAAAAAGAATATATGCACCCTATGTTCATTGCAGCTTTATTTACAATAGCTAAGATCTGGAAACAGCCCAAGTGCCCATCAGTAGATGAGTGGATAAAAAAGCTGTGGCATATTCACACCCTGGAATATTGCTCAGCCATCAGAAAGGAAATCTTACCTTTTGTGACGGCATGACTGGATCTGGAGAATATTATGCTAAGTGAAATAATCCAGTCAAAGAAAGACAAATACCATATGATCTCACTTATATGTGGCATCTAATGAACAAAATAATTTAACAAATAAAATAGAAACAGAAGCATAAATACATAGAACAGACTGACAGTTGTCAGAGGGGAGAGGTGTTGGGGGCTAGATGGAAAAAGGTGAGTGGATTAAGCAAAAAAACATATAGATAGAGATATAGGATATAGATATAGATAACACAGAGACACAGACAACAGTGTGGTGAGAGCCAGAGGGAAGGGGGTGGGGCGAGGCGAAAGAGGGCAAAGCGGGGATAAATGGGGACAGGAGGAGACTTTACTTCTGGGGATGAGCACACAATGCAGTGTGCAGATGACCTTTTGTTGAGTTGTACGCTTGAAACCTATATGGTTTTGTTAACCAATGTCACCCCAATAAACTCAATAAAAAATAATAATTTGCTTTAAAAAAAAGAAATAAAAGTATCTCATCTGCTGGTTTCCATCACGTCTTCCTTTCCTGGCTGACCTCCCACCTCTCTGATTCTTCTAGTCAGACTCAAATATTCCCTCATCTTTGGTCCCATGGCCCCTGCGCCTAATCATATTATAGTATTTACCACACCATCCTGAGATTGCTTGTCTGGGGGCACCCTCACTCTAGACTGCGTGCCCCTTGAGAATAAGGACAGGGTCTTATCTGTCTTGTTATTTACCAAGTGCCCGACACATACAGGAACTCCACCATTGAATAGAGTGCTGCTGAACTTTCCGCCTTCATCCTTTATGTGTGGGATGCGCAGGTAAAACAAGGGAAAGGAAAATTAAATATTTCCTCCTCCGTTGGCTGATGAAATTGTCCCTTGCCCCCAGCAGTTCACCCAGGGAATTCAGAAGGGGTGCCTATGCCAGGTTCCAGCAGTTTCTTGAGGGGAATAGGGGCTCCTTTCTGGGTATCTATAATGTGGGTTTTCCTCAAAGGGAATGTTTGGTCTTAGCCACATGTCACCATCATTAACTTAAGACTAATGGGATGAGTCTACTATGAATGAGCTTCGAGGAATGGAGGGGGTGGACAGAAGGCCCTCGCCACTTTGCTGCATCCACCCAGCCCAGTGCCCTACGAACAACACCACCACCACTACTGATTAGGAAATAGCATCGCTGAGTTTCTGGGAGGGAGGAAAGGAGGTGGGCAATGAGTTAAGCAAACATCCCATGACACTTACTCTATTTGTTCTACTGCACTGCATCCATGGACCCCACAGTCAGATTTCCCGGGTTCACATCCCAGCTCTGCCACTTCCTAACAATATGATCTTGAGCAAGTTCCTTCATTTTTCTAGCCACTGATATTCTCATTAGTAAAATAGGGGTGATAATATAGTATCTTTCTTATAGGGTTATTTGAAGAATTAATGCAATTACAGAAAAGCTCAGAACAGTACCTGGCATACAGAGAACATTCGAAAATGTTAGCCAAAGCAACCACTTTTTCTTTTGTGCCCTAGCCTTGCTGTGCTCTACAGAGTCCCCTTTACTAATGCTTTAGCACAGCCCCTCCTCACCCTGTTATACTTTATTGCACACCTTCACTGACCCCACTATCCCTCACTAAAGTATGAACCTTGAGGGATTGTGCTTTTCCATTCCATTTGCATTCTTACTGCCCAGCATACTTTCTGTCACCTAATAATAATTAGATGTCAAATGATGAATGAATGTGAAACATAGAATTGCCATTTCATAAGCCCATGTGTCAATTACCAACCCAAAGTGATCAGTACTGATTTAGTGAGTATCTACAATGCCCTCCACTTGAGCTGATAATCCCAATAACAGCTGTCACTTATTGAATGATCACTGTGCCATGTCCTATGGTAAGGATCAGCTTCAACACCCTGCAGTTGCCAATTTTTGCTGCTCAAATAGTAGCCATTTCAAATGGCTCAATCCAATACTGTATTTTAATTCGATCCAGGTAAAATAAGGGCATTCATTACCTATTCTCAGTTAAAGATGGAAAAACTGAGACCTGTGGAGATTAGTGGTTTGCCAAGGTTCCATGGCTAATAGGTGGTGAAGACAAGGCTGTCATCCCCTCTTGGCCACTATGCCATGAGGTGGCTGTCCTCAGGTACTCTGTCTTGTTCTGAAGACAGAGCTATAGCTCAGGAAACTCCCAGAATAAATGTAGGACTGAATATATGCAGCACTAAATTAGATCCGATTTCCTGAGACTGTACAGAGAGCCAGTGTGTCCTGTTCAGAGTTAACGGGGAAAAAGGGCAGAGGCTCTGGGGAAAATCTTACAAAGCAGCTTTCCTTCAGAACATTCTTGACTGTCATTTTCTTGTGCACTTGCTGGCCTTGGCCTCAGGCCCTAATTAGATTATCTTCAAACAGCAACTAAGAGATGTTTCTCATTAAACATGAACAGGGGAATGTTTAATTTGTTAGCACGCAGGTGTTCAGAAAGCAAATCACTGGTTCAGGGTGTTGAAATGAGCATTGTCATTGCAGTTGTCCCTGGTGGGCACTACACGGCCAGGCCTTCCCAGGGCACATACATATTCACTGGATGAGGTCTGTGGCTCCGACCTCCAGGCTTTCTTTACATTTTAAAAGATGGACCAACTCGATTTCTCTCCCTCTCCCCTTAAAACAGGGGTAACTGCCTAATTGTCATTCCAAAATTATAGCATCTGAGGGGTTACAATTTGTGTGTCTTTTCCCATGTGATTCTCAGACCGTGTTTACTTGGGATAAACATATTTGTAAAGCATCCAAGAATATTGATAGATGCTTAACTTTCTATAAGGTGAATTAAGAGCACTAAAGCTAGTGTCACAGCAGTTTGTGGTGTGGTCTTTTCTTGGATTTGGAGGTCACTTTGGATTCAGAAGGACCTGGATTTGAAAGCATGGCTTCATTTCTTGCTGGTTCTGCATCCTTGGACCAATGTCCTAGCCTCTCTGAGTCTGAGCATCCTGCCTGTGCAATGACAGTAAGAGCAACCTTGCCGGGCTGGCGTGATGACTGGGAAATGTTGTCAGCAAAGCCTGGGGCCCGGGGTTTGACCGGCGGACGCTAGCTCTCTTTCCCTCTTGTCCAACGCTCCCTGTCACCAGTTTAGAAGAGAATGGTAAGGATGCGAGTGCTGATGAGTTCAGCGCACGCAGACGGAATATATTCTGGTGTGAGGGAGAGGAGCTGGGAGCTGGGCAGCCTTCCGAGGCAAGGAAGTGACTCCTGGGGCCAGCGGAGGGCCGCCGCTGATGGTGTCCTTCTTCCCATGCCTTTTCAGCCCCTGAAAATGCACTGCAGGGACTGCGCCCTGGTGACCAGCTCGGGGCACCTGCTGCGCAGCCGGCAAGGCCCCCACATCGACCAGACCGAGTGCGTGATCCGCATGAACGACGCCCCCACGCGCGGCTACGGGCGCGACGTGGGCAATCGCACGAGCCTGCGGGTCATCGCGCATTCCAGCATCCAGAGGATCCTCCGCAACCGCCACGACCTGCTCAACGTGAGCCAGGGCACCGTGTTCATCTTCTGGGGCCCCAGCGGCTACATGCGGCGCGACGGCAAGGGCCAGGTGTACAACCACCTGCAGCTGCTGAGCCAGGTGCTGCCGCGGCTCAGGGCCTTCCTGGTCACGCGCCGCAAGATGCTGCAGTTCGACGAGCTGTTCAAGCGGGAGACCGGCAAGGACAGGTACCGGGGCTGGGGGGGGGCGGGGAGAGCGGCTGCGGCGCGGCTCATCGGAAGCAATGCCGTGGCCCACTGCCCGTGCCTTGGGCACAGCTCATCTGCAGGTTCCTCCTGGAAGCCGGGCCGCTCGAGCTGAGCTCAAAAGGCAAAGTGACATGGAGAAGCGAGACAGTTGTGTGGGTCGTTCAGGGCCAAATCCCGATTTTGGAGGAAGAGGCCCGCGGCTGCTGGCTTACACTGGCCACAAGTGCGAGATAATAGCTTTGCCGCGTTTCATTTGTCTTGTGTGAACACTCACCAAAAAGAAATATATGGGTTGATTTGTTTTTTTCCTTTGCAAAGGCAGACATGTACTGAGTCAGCCGGTATTGATCGAGTACCTAGTCACTGCATCGGGCACCAGGGGTACAGCCCAAACGGAGGCAGGCGTGGACCCTGCCCTCCTGGACTGTGAAGCTCGCAGGGCAGACATGCACCACGAGTGGCCAGCGTGCTGAGCGTCAGCCGGGGGAAGAAAGTGCTGCGGCGACCTGAGGGCAGGGAGGCCTGCCCTAGTCCAGGGAAAGGTTTTCCAAGCTGGTGGTTACAACTCAGTAACGGGACATGAAGTCAACGTAGTGAGTCACTGCAAGATTTTTTTTTATGTAGTGGAATAGAGCAGAATAGAATGACATAGAACAGACACTATCAGCATTCACCACCCATAGTAAATAAGGCAAAGTATTGCTTCATTAAATAATATGTTTTGGCTTTATACATATAAGTATACATATGTAAGAGGGTCCTTCTGAAGTGATAAAAATGTTCTAAGATTAGATAGTGGTGATGATTGCACAACCTTGTGGACACACTAAAAATCACTGAACACACTTTAAAAAATAAAATGAAAACCATACATACATACACATACATGTATGTGCCTATGCTCAATCACGATATAACATGTATTTCTCACTATCGGCTGAAATATTTTGAAAAGCACTGGTCTAGGAGATGAGGGAATGAGGGAAAGGTTTTCTCAAAAAGATGTATTTAATCTGAGACCTAGGTCAAGAAGTATTTATCCAGGAAAAAAACAAACCTGGGAAAGGGAGAGAAAAGTGTGTAGGAGAAAAGTCCCTAAGGCAGTAAGGGGAGGCCGGTAGGGGAAGAGGGGTGGCCTGAGATGAGGCAGACATGCAGGCCAAATGTGGAAGATAAACAAGGACAGCTAGGTATCAAAAGGAGCAGCGCAGTGCATTCCAGTTACACAGCTCTAGGCTGGAATTCGGACCCTGTCCCTTACTAGTCATGTGGCCTTGGACATTTCCTTGGACATTTTACTTGACCTCACATGTGAGAAGGACACAGGGACTAGGTCTCATAGGACTGACCTAATAATTAAATTCCCTGTTCCTTAATTCTAAACATGTACTTTTATAATTAATATACATCTAATGATGTAACCTATCCCCTCCCTTGCAGCTGTTGCTGAGTCAATTTCATATCTTAAAACTAAAGAGATATGATAAAAAATAAAGGATATAAAGTACTAAATCCATTGTTTGGCTAGTTTAGGCAGCTCATTATTGGAGAACACAGTTTTAAAGAAAGACCAAAGCCTAATGTTCCCAAGCTCTTTGCTTAGAAGAGCTTTTTTTTCTTTTTAAATCCTGGAAACCTTGTGACCATTGAGAGCTGGTCCAGGCAGGAGTGGGTGTGACATCTGGTGGAAAGAGGAGAAGGGGAGCTGGCTGCTGGCACTGTGGCCTCCCTCCCTGGTCAGCCCAACCAGTAGATCACATAGGGGATCCTGGTCATCATCACCGGCTGCCACGAAATCCAGTCACTTATTGCCCTTTAAAAAACCACAAGTAAGAGAGACTGTCACTCATTTGAATGAGTTATTTAACCAAGAGAGCATTTTATACGGGTCAAAGAATGAGGGGCGTTATTTACAGTTTTGTTTTTACTGATCGAAAAAATCAAAATAAGTAGAAACACTCTTTTCAATAGAAAACACTTCTCTCCTTTCAGTTTAATGTTGTTTTCTAATTTTAAGTATTCCTGAAACACTGCTGCAATGTTCACTGTTTAGGATAATGACACGTTGCTCTGGATCTTCTTAAGAATTTATTTTCAGTTGGTAATTTGGTGACTAGTCATTCCACTCTATGTTCACTTGGACCTTTGGGTAACAATCTCACATAAAGACATATCACACTCACTAAATTCATCAAATTCTGACCTGTGGAGACCTGTTGCTCAATAGGTCTGTCTCCCTGGTGAGCCCAGCTGGAAGGAAGAAACCAAATCTTTGTGGATTGGCTACTGGACCCCTCATGTGCAGACATCCATCTATGAGGGTCTACCTAGTCCCAACTCAGGGGAATTACACTTATGGATTTGTAGGGTGCTAAGGTACATCGTGACTTCTAGAATCTCTGTAGCTCTTACCTTTAGGAAACTATCTTAATATAGTATCGATTCAATTTTCTCATGTGTCTGTATTCTTAACCTGCAACCTACTCCAAGCTAAAAGAACCATGTCCGAAACAGCCCTTCAGAACAAAACTACATCTGTAAATTAAAACACAAAACATTCAGGGTCCCACAGTATTTCCTCTTTTTATGCTTTTCTTGAAACCCAACAAAAATGTAGCATGTATTGAAGATACACAAAATATGGAATATTTAATTTTATAGATTTCATGATCAACACATTCATTTCAGGCTAGTATTTTGACAAAATACAATAATTCAATAGATTTGATTTATAGAAGTTTTCCCCTACTTAAAAATGGAGAAAAAAAAATGACTCAGGAACAATCTGCGATTAAGAAGCATAACAAATGACATAGATGGCCAAGTGGTATACTTTACCATTAGAAAGTAACTGTACTTGAAAATAACTTTATAATTGAATAAGGGTACATTAGGAAAATATGATTCAGAACCAATATTATAGTAATTAGATAAAGGAAGCATAAATGAAATAACTGCAGGAAGAATATTTCCATAGAGATTATAAATGAGATTCTGGTGGAGCAGAAAGGCCTTTAATTGTAATTTAGTGTGCACTATAGAATTATCAGCTCAGTGTGTTACTTCATCATAGAAAAGAATATCTGATAATTTTCCCTAATAAGCACATGACAGCTCTTCAAATTCCTTCATTACAACTGATTAAGTGTAAAAACAGTAGTGATTCCTTTGTTGGGAAAATGAATTCAAGTCTTTTAAAGAAAGACAGCACAAAGCAGTTGCATTTCTATAGCATGTGATCCCAAAAGGCTATTATTTAGAAAGTCTGGGGGATTTTAAGTGGCACTTTAAAGAATTCTTCACTTTAGTTTCTATTCCACTTTGTATTCTTCCCGTTTTTATTCATGAAACCTTTTTCTGTAGAGCCACATCCTCCTGTATTTCAGGCTGTGGCTGTGATCTCTACTATATCACACAAAAGAAAGCCAAAATTATGAGCCAGTTTCTGCCACTGGGAAAAGCCCTCTTGGTGTTTCCAACAACTCTAAAAGCACAGGGACACAGGTGTGATTCCCAGGTCTGGGCTCCCTATCCTCCCAGTTAGTCATTCACCCTGTTTGAGCCGAGAACAGAACAGCCGGCCATCCCATTGTCACAGCCACATAGGCGAAGACAGGCTCTAATTTGAAACAAGGCACTTCCTTCCCTTTCCCCTTCCCATTCAGTCATTTCGGCTCCATCCCCCCTCCTTCATTCCCAGAGGTCTTATGAATAGATCCCTGGTGAGAAGAAAGGGGAATCGTTCATATACAGGTAGCCTGGAGGCTCCAGACTTTTGTGATTACTGCAGGGACTACTGATGACACTACTGATGATGGCTCCTCCACAGAGCAAGTAGCAGAATGTTGGAAGGATGTCAGTTTCTCTGTGGGTGCTGAAGGGCACCGAGGGGAATGGCTGATCTATTTAGTTCATCTGCTCCAACCTAGCAACCCAGGGAGGAAGAAGGGATCTGGATGTATCACCACACCAGACTAGATACTTTTTATGGCGTTCTCTCATTTAGTCCTCAAAGGAGCCCAGGAAGATGGGGCTTCCCCTGCCCACTTTACAGGTGGGAAATCAAGGCTGCAAGACCAGCAGTAGCCTGCCTCAGGCCATTCAGCGGGTTCGTAATAGAAACTGGTTAAGATACAAACTCGGGTATTCTCATCTTCAGGAGCTTTTCAGTGTGCTTCCTGGGCTAGTAATGGGTCAGCGTGCAATGGAATGGAAAACAAAAATGAGTAAAGGGATTAAGCTCTAGAAAGTTGAAGCCCTGAACTCAGGAATGACTAAATCACTCATTCCCGTCAAGTGTTTACAAAAGAAAGGACTTTTTTAAATGCCCTTTTTTTTGTCCTTTATGTGAAATGGAAATAAGCAAGCTGCTTAACAAAAAGTCTTCCTTCTGAAAGAGGGACGCCACACAGCGCAAGTAGAAAAGCTTTTCTGCAGTCCTGTTATTCACGTTGCATGTGGTGCTATGGCTGGGCAAGCAGGCAGTCTGACCTTGGGGACAGGTGCTTGAAACTGGCTAACGAGGCATGCCATAAGCACCAAAAGAAAAAAAAAGTAGAAGTGCAACCCCAAAGAATTGAATTACTGTCCACAGCAGCATAGCGTGGTAGACTGAGTCACTCTCACAGGGTCCGATCAGACCTTGATGTTGTGTCTCCACAGTTATCCTTAGGCTTGGCATGTGGCTGGAGCTCAACACCCGTGCTTGAGTGGACAAATGAATAAATGTTGGAATGCACAGTTCCTTAAACTTTTGGTCCTTCCAATAAAAATGTCCAGAGGATTCTGAACGGTCTGAGGTAAAATAAAGCCTATGCTCATTTAACCATAAGCATGCCTCAGGACCTTTTCCTCTGGTCATTAGCCACTTCTCCAATGGATGTACTACAGGTCCTCAAATAACGTCATTTTGTTCAACATGCTTTGTCATAATGTTCATGAGGGGGGAAATCTATTCCCAGTCAGGGCCACAACATGTGTGGAGTTTGCATGTTCTCCCCAGGCCTGTGTGGGTTTCCTCCCACATCCCCAAAATATGTGAGGTGAATTGCTGTGTCCACATTGTCCCAGTCTGAGTGAGTGGGGGCGTCTGTGAGTGTGCCCTGTGACAGAGGGTGTCCTGTCCAGGGCAGGTTCTGCCTTGTGCCCTGAGCTGCTGGGATAGGCTCTGGCCAACCACAACCCTGCACTGGAATAAACAAGTTGGAAAACAATCATCTTACCTTTTTATTAGTCTTTCCTAAATGTATGTGTAGTTCATATTTATTTTAATATTTAATATTAAAAGTGCTTTGGGTCTTTATTTAAATGTTTGGTGATGTTTCTCTTGCCAGAAATATGCCATGGGAACTTAAATCCTGTTTATATCATTTAGCCTCTGGGAAAACTGGTTTCGTTATAAGTCATTTTGCTTAAGGTGGCAGTTTCCAAGAACCTATGCACGATGTTAAATGAGGTCTTACTGCACTCCTAAGGCAAGGCATTCAATCAAGATGCCGGTGTTAGTCTAGTTGAAGGCAGGCTTCAACTAGATTGTTTGATAGATTGATCATTTGATAGTCAGACACATCTGTGTTTAATCATATGTAATAAACTCTTATCCACTCTGCTTGGGGAACAAGGAATATTTCTAGTTCGTCAAGTATTCTAGTTAATAAAGGGTTGACACAAGGGGGTTATCATCTTACAAGAAATTGAATTATGGTGATATACACTTGAACATTGAAACAGTGATCATCATCTTTGATGATGAAGAAGTCCCTTGAGCATCCTTTAGTGTCACAAATCTACCATGATGGCTCATCAACATCATTTATGATTGTGCTGTGGAACATGGTGGTGTTGGTAGAGCTATCTCTCTGGTAAAAAGTTCCAGCTATTTACCAAATGGAGAAAGAGAATGTGTGTGTTTATAGTCAGACTTGCTCCATAAAGGATTTAAGATGGCAGTGGGTATAATGATTATCTTACCAGCTTGCAGACTGAATTGTTGTTCCTTCCAGAAAGATCTCCAACACGTGGCTCAGCACTGGCTGGTTCACGATGACGATTGCGCTGGAGCTCTGCGACAGGATCAATGTGTATGGCATGGTGCCCCCGGACTTCTGCAGGTAGGATTTACTCTGCAAGTGTAATTCATCAGCAGTGTCGTGCGGAGTTTATAAATATCTGATTCCAAATGTCAACCACAAAACATGTCTGTCTTCTTGAAGCAATTAATTAACATGTCCCAAGTTCTGGTTCTAGAAACAACAAACAGCATTTAATTACGTGATATAAAATATTGAAAGTTTTTGTTTGTTCTGCTGGAGAATTAATCCATCTTATGGGCTTCATTTATGCTCTGAATATTTATCAACCAAAAGTAATGCAGTAATTGGCATAATATTCACGATGCACAAGCATTAAGAAATGTTAGTTTTATTCTCATTTGAAAGGAATGTGGTAATTTTTAATGAATTAAACAGGGCAATTTCTTTGACGATAATGCCTATTTTCTAAAATTAAAATATTCCTTGGAGCCTCATTCCTTCACCACCACATAGCTTTGGTTTGTGCTTCTAAGACCAAAGCACAAGCATAATTATTTTGATGCATCACTTTAAAGAGAACATAAGCACTCATCTCTGTTGCTACCGTAAGTTACCTCCTGGCATGTGCCCGGGCAGAGTTTGGTGTCCTAACAAATGCACCGATTTGCCAAAGCTCATTGAAAACTCATCTGTAATTTAAGGTGGTGATGCCTATAAATTCAGGAAGTGCCCGTCATTTTAGGAGTGACCGATGGCCAGCCCATGGCCTCAATGTTGATTTTCAAATGGTCAAACCTGGAGGGGAGGGGTGTTTTAAAGTTGTTCAAGTAAAATTTCTGCTTGCTTCACATGTATTAAACCTAACAACTTCTCAAAAGCCATGGGCCTTGATGCAAAATCTTTACAGAGGTTTGAAGCAAGAATGAGAAAAGGGTAATTAAGCATGCTGTTTCCAACTGGCCACTTTTCTCCCACCCTTTTAAACCCAAAAACCTAACAGCAGGAGTAGTAATTTATATGTTAGAGTCAGGTCACAGAAGAGAAGGAAAGGTGTGGACAGAGCAGGCCTTTGTTATGTGCCTGTATTCTCTCGTCCCCAGGAGTGACATAATGTAGTAAGGAAGGGTGTAGGGTCTGGGGCCAGAATGCACAGGTTCCAAGTTCAGCCTGGCCACTTACTCACCTAATGTGACCTTGAGCACATTGCTCAGTCTCTCTCAGTGTTTCAGCTTCCTCATCATTAGAAGTAGAGGTGATAATAATAATAGACTCTACCCCATAGGGTTGCAGGTGGATTAAATAAGTTAATACGTGTAAAGTGCTTGGAACAGGGCCTAGTCCATGGCAAGAGTTAGCTTGGATTCTCACCCAGTTCCTCATCACTTAAGTCACTGGCCTTGTTTCCCTGTTTAATAATCTATGTGCAAAAAGTAGGCAGGATGGTGTAAGAAAGCAAACTGTCTCCTCAAACCAACAGGCTAACAAAGACAGCGGGAGCGGTCCTTATGGGCGTGCAAAGAGCTATCAAAGTCCATGGTTCTATGGCAGATATAATTGCCATTAGGACACCAAGAAGAAAGCGCATGAATAAATTGAAATGTTAATGACTTAGAGTGTTCAAGGAAATCTTCCATTTATTATGGAAAACAAATGAAAGGCATGTTAGCCTGTCATTTCTCTTACTCAGAGTTAGTTCATCAAGGCTTCTTGTACGTAGATGGAAACAATTTATGGAATGACACTAACCAGGAAGTCAAGATACTGTCCACGCACCACTTGCTGCCACCAGCTCTAGGTTTCTGTCTCTTGGCCACCATCCAAAAGGTGTGGTAGTTGTTCTCACAAGATGCTTACAGCAAGAACTCTTCCAAAGGACCCTATGCCTAGCGTCCTGTCTGAAAAGGTGGAGAACTGTGCTGGGGGCCTCCTGGAGGAGAGGGTTAGGCTGGAGAGAGCATCCTGCCCAGTCGTAATGCCTGCTCACAAGGGTGAGAAGGGAAGGACCAGGATGATCCTTCCCTTCACAGACTGATGCTCAGGTTCCTTTTATCTTCATCTCAGAACATGTTGGTTGACCCACCAGGCACCCGGGTCCTAACTGGGAGACCTTGAGTCTTGCTTTTCTCATCTGCAAAGTGGAGATAAGAAAATAATAAGAGCAAGCAGGTCATGGGGAGGGTGAAATTAGATCATGAAGGTAGAGCATCTGATATAGCACCCAACAGACAATTAGTGCTCAGGAAAGATTATTATTATTACTAATACATTAATGTTATACCATAAGGTATATGAAATCATTCTTATTGTTATCCTGGGTACTTGAGATTTACTCTGAAAGGTGCTGAGAATTTGGGGGAGTTCAAAGAATAGGACACAGCTCTGGTGTCCTAGAGGCTCATGATAAGCCTTACCCACACCAAAAGTAATGAGCACAGCAAAGCCTCTTAGAGTCAAATGACTTGCAAACAGTATCTGCAACCAAAGAATGACCATTTCCACCCCCTTTTTAAATTTTGGCTTGTTTCTTCCAGCTGCTCAGCCCAGCAGATCTCCAGCAACAGAGGAGTGGGCAGGGATGCCCAGCACCCAAGTGCTGGGCGGACCGTGTCTTCTCTAAGCAAACGAGGTTAGGGCTCCCCAGGTCGTGGGAGGCATGCTCTGACTGCAGACAGCTGGAGAGGGCACTCTCCACCTAGGACATGGCCCTGACACCCAAACCAGCCAGTCAGGCAGCCTGGCTGGCCAGCACTCCCCCTTTGGTCTTTATTTTGAAAGAAGCTGAGGATTGTAAGGGGCTATGTGTCATGCAGGGTACATGTGTCATGAGTGCTAGGAATTAGGAGGTAAGATATCAACAGGGCAAAAATGGTAAAGGGTGGTTTTGTGAGCACAGAGACTTTGGCAGGGCTCAAGCTGGTTGAGTCCATCAGAATGTAAACTCCCCATTGGCAGAGATTTTGTGTGTCTGCCTCACTATTGGAGCCCTAGTGCTAAGACAGTGGATAGTTACCATCCTAGCCTATAGCTGGTGCGCCATAAATATTAAGTGAATGAATGGTCCTGTCCTCTACTCTCTGTTTAGTGCTGTAGTAAAAGGCTGCTGATGTGGGTGAAAATAACCATTTCTGCCTCTCAGAAGCTGTTGACCTTGAGAAAGACCAAAAGTGTCAGGTGAATAAAAAGTGTAATTGCAAAGGGCAAATTCAGATTTCAAGGGTCCTTAGAAGTAAGTCACTGGTGGCCACCTGTTTCATTCTCAACCAGAGCCCACATTGGGTCCTATAGGAGGGGCTCCGGCATCCTGCCTTCATCACCAGACTCCAGGCTCATCCGTGTTCAGAAAGCTGGAGAAAATTAATTCCATGCTGCATCTTAGACAGCATCAAAATATATTATCGTGGGGACAGTGAACCCTTAAATCATGCCCTATCCATACAGGAAGCCAAATCCACTCTCCAGGTGGACTATAAATTTCAGTGAAAAAGATCTATTATCATTGCTTTCCAAACTAAGTTACAGTGAGTATTTTTATCTCATTTTCCACAGTAAATTATTGGCAATAATAACGGGCCAAACATTTAAATTCTATCTAATAATCTTATTTCTGGTCATACTTAACCCATTACCAAGTTTACAACTCTCAGTTACCCATTATTTCTTCCGTATTAATTAGAGGAGTAATGACTCAGAGTGATCACTGTCATGGAACTAAATTAATATCTCATCCGTAATGTGAAGGACATCTCAAAGGCATCGTGAATATCAGAGAGTTGGTTCTACCAGAGTTACTAGCTCATGAACATGAATACAGCTGCCAGCATAACAGAAGTTCCTGCGCAGCCACAGTGCATGGCGTGGAATCAGATGCTTACGCAGGGCGGGCGGGGAACGGCGATGCACCCTGTGGTCCACAGTCTATGATGTAGTCTTTAGACGTATTGTTATCTTTCTTCCTAGATGCTTATTGTTTCTTCTTTCTTTGCTGTAATTCGACCAACTCTTACCGGTGACTGGCTGTTTCCTTTACTTTCATCCTCTGCCCATGGGTGCCACAGATATATTATGAGATGTTAATGGCACCGCCTGAGGTGCCTGGGTTGTGGGGGGTGAGTTCAGGTGACTCACTTGGGCTCTTTGCCCCATAACAGGTAAACAGCTGTAGTCTCTTGATGCTCAGTGTGCCCCGAATACACAAGTTTTATTCCACCAGCTTCCAAGGTGTGCAGCAATTTACCTTCCAAAAGAGTCTCCAAAGAGAAGCGAGGCAGCAGGAGAAAGGGGGCTCAGGGAGCCTCACTGGCCCTGGGCAGTGTCTGGGAAGGCCTGCTGTAGGAACATGACCTTCTGAATGTGCACAGTGTCCCCGAGACCCCTGAAAGCCAATCTCAGAGCAGCGCAGACACCTGACAGCTATTGATTTCACTCCCTTCCTCAAACATCGCCTGACTCCCTCCTGTATGCCAAGTACCACGCCAAAAACAGAAGTGTGTTTAGAGAGGGTGTCTAGAGAGAAGCAAAGGCACCCTTCCTACCTTGTAGATGATCCAGCTGCAAAGCCAAAGAGCAGGGTTAACCTAGATCATACCCGGAAATGGAATTATCCTCCCTTGCTTGTTAATGTTATGAGGTTTCTTTCCAATTGTACAGCTTAGCTTTATAAGATTCAAAAACGGAACATGACAAACTCCTGCTGCCATTAACATCAGTGGGCAGGATTGTCAATGAGCATGAGGCCTCAGCGCCGCACCCTGACCAGCTGCACCAAGCACGGGACACTTCTACAGACAGGTGCTTGGGAAAATGCAGCAAGGGCAAAGCTGTTCCCAGCCATGTGTAGCCAACCCCAGTGGAAACCTGGGGCGCCATTAGTACAGAAAGTCCACTTGGTGGGACAGGAGATTCTTCCAAGACACAAAGCCTCACTCTTAAGAGGAGGCTCTTGTCCAAAATTAGGCCCTGAGACTTCAATTTTTCTCTGCATGAGTTTTCTCATTTATAAAATAGCAATAATGACAGTACCTTTCTCACTGGGGGCTGGTGAGGATCAGATAAGTTAGTCTACGTAGAGTGCTGAGCTCTGGTTTTGGGGTTGAAAGAGTCAAGTCTAGCATCTTGAATGAGGCTATGTGCTTAAAGCCAGGCCCTGGACTCTACCTGGGTGTCAGATGCCCCCCCATCAAACACAGCAGGTATACTTACGTTAGACTGATGGGGGAGTAGATGCCGTAATGTAAGCTAAGCACCAAGGCTAACGGGCATTTAATTAAATCAACCATCTCACTCCTGGCTGCATATTAGAATTCCCTAAGGAGATTTTTAACATTATCTATCTTTTAAATTTTTTGTTTTGATATATTTTAGACTTACAGAAAAAGTTGCAAAAATCATAGAGAGTTCTGGTATACCCTTCACCCAGCTTCCCCTAATGTCAGTACTTTGCATAATTATGCCCCAATTATCAAAACCAAGAAATTAATACCAGTCCAATACTCCTAACTAAACTACAGACTTTATTCAGATTTCAGCAGCTTTCTTACTGATGTCCTTTATCTCCTTCAGGGCTCAATCCAGGATTTCTTTGCTTTTACTTGTCACGTGCCCTTAGTCTCCTCCAATCCATGACAGTTCCTCAGTCGTTCCTTATCTTTCATGACTTTGATGCTTTTGAAGAATTCTGGTCACCATTGCAGGATGCCCCTCATTTTATATTTCTGTGATTAGACTGAGGTTATGCAATACTGGGAAGAATATCATAGAAGCCATAAGCCCTTCTCACATCTCATATCAAGAGGTACATGATGTCAAAATGTCTTATCACTGGCCATGTTGACTTTTATCACTTGGTTGAGGAGATGTCTGCTGGGTTTACTCATTGTAAAGTTACAACTTTTCTCTTTGTCATTAATAAGTATCTTGGGGAAAGATACTGTATGCAAATAACCTGTTTCTCCCATCTATAGCCCCACTAATGTTCTCTTCATTGGTGCATCTTGCCTGCAACCATTACTATTCTCTTTTAATGGTGATTTCTATTCCCTCATTCCTCCTAGATTTGTTAATTGGAATTCTTCTCTCAGGAAATGCCATTTCATCTCCCTCATTTATTTAATTATTCAGTTGTTTATTGAGATCATCATGGACTCATGGATATTTATTTTATTTTATGGGTTTTATAATCCAGTGCTGCCATTATTTATTTTGATACTGAAACCTAAGGCACTTTTTTAAATGCCCATGCCTGGGACCCTCTCCAAGTCAATTAAACCCGAATCTGTGGAGGTGGAACACAGACAACGGTATTTCTTTAAAGCTCCCCCTGTGCACTAAATATTAGCTCTCTCCCTCTCCCCACCTGCTTCCTTCATAAAGAAAAAAAATCCTTCTTCACATTATTCTGCAGTATTAGTTCCCACACTGGCCCTCGGAGTGCTGATGACAGGCTGCAGCCGCTGGGGTAACTGGCTCTGTGATTATCGCACCAACCCTGCCCTCAGGCCTTCACTCCTTCAGCTCCCCTGGCCCCAAACGGGGACTTGGTGCCAGATCCTCCCTTTACAGCAGCAGCCTCCCGCTGTGAAAATTCTGCTGGTATTTATTGCTATTTTCCCTGGGATCAGGTGAAGCCGGAAAAAGCCTCGGCAGCCTTTAGAAAGTCAGGTTTGACCTTGAGCTGCGAAGGGCTTTCTGAGCGGAATGGTGGATTACAGCCGGTGGCAGGCTGGCGACCCAGGGCTTTCTCGCCGTTGCTTCCGATCTGCCCCCTCAGTCCCGCAAAGCACATTTCTGCCATTTGGACAGAGTTTTAATGGATGCAAACAACCCCCACCTATTTGGACAACTTTGAAATTAAGAAATTAAATTTACCAAATATGTAAATTTAATTCTCCCTTTAGGTGATCAGTATCGAGCCAAATAAGGTTTCATTCAAAAAGATGGTCATCCTGAGTGAGGAAACTGACCTCCAGCATCCTTCGGCTGGTTTCCAATTTCCCTCTATTCCTAGGTGCCAAATCAATCTCATGGTTATTTTTAGAAACCTAATTGTTTCTTCAGTGAGACTGATGCCAAGAATATGTCCAAAACTTAGATGAATCAGATTTAAAGCATGATTTGTACCAGAATAAAAGTTTAACCCTAGATTTGCTGCAGTGGCATGAATTTGGCATGGCTCCCCAAATTATGTCATATGAATTTGGGGAGATTTGTCTCACAAGATTCTATTTCCTTTTTTTTTCCCCATAGTGGTAGTTCCAACTTAATTTTTTCCTAACATGCACTTTCTGTATTGAAAACACCTTCTATTAAAATTTTAAGGAGACTCTAATGTCTAGGGTAAGTAAATAAGTGATATCTATAATAACTAGGCAGGACAGCTGCTGATGTTTCACGATAGAGCATAGAGATACTTCTGAGACAGGTATAATAGAGATGCAAAGTATTAACTCAGCACAGCATCCAACCCAGGATGAGGAATGTTTAAACCCTGCATGACAAAAATAGATTTCTCTTCCTGAAAGAACTTTAACCTCGGGGGAGAGGCAGCTCAAAGGTTTACTCTTGTCAAAGCCACAAACTCAACACCCCTCTTGATAAAAGACTTCGATCCCTGACCCCAGTAAAGTTGCTACTCTAAAAGCCATTTGTGTATTGATCTCCCCTGAAGAAAATGAATACGTATCTAGTAGGATGAGCATCTTTGGAAAACCAAGTTGCTGTGATTAGAGTAGACCCTAGTGACCGGAGAGGGGACCCCAGGACATTAGATGCTAAAAGGTGGTTTGCTGGGATGCCTGGCCCTTTTAAGAAAAGAGCTAAGAAGAGACTAAGAAGAGCATAGTCTCTGACACAAGACTGGTTAGTGAGTGTAGCTCAAGGTAGGAAGGCTTATCTATTGGGATATCATAACCAATCTTATCATCTAGACTCTAAAACAGAAGAAGTGGAGTGTACTGGCCTAGCATGAAAACCAGTCTGAGAGCAGGGCTCTTTGGGTTTTAGATAGTTTAATAACCCTACAACAAGGGCACACACTACCTTGAAGAAATGAGCCAGTGTTTCTTGCTTGAAGAGGAGACAGGGATACAGAGACATGGAAATGTTGGGATAGTCAGGCTACACGGCAGGGGTTGAGGATTTGGAATTTCTGGATTTAGAGACTCTACATTTGAGTACATCGTTGTCTTTCTAGACAACAGGAAGAAAAGGGTGGCATCGTATCTGCTGTCTTCTTTCTCTCCTGTGCAATCAAAATAAGACCATCAACTTGCCATTCTTGGAGAAGAGAGAGTCTTTAGGGACTTGCCGGGTAGCTGCTAGCTCCATATAAATTTCTTTCAACAACTGAAATGCAAAAATTATTTTTTGAGCACCTACTAGGAACAAGACAAAGACCTGTCATCGCAAACAAACAATAAGCAGGGAAACAACAGCAGTTTCAGACAGTGACTAATGCTGTAAAGAAAATAAATCTGAGTGAGAGGGAGTGAAGAGCACCAGGTAAAGCCTCTCTGAGAATACATTTGAGTCGATCCTTAAAAGTGAGAGGAGTGAACTGGTGAGAGAATGCTCTAGCCAGGTGACTGCCCTCAGGGGCAAAGGCCTCAAGGTAGGGGCCACCTTGGAGGGGTTGACACCAGAAACGCCAGTGTGACTGGAGCATAGAGACGAAGCAGGGTGGGTTAGGCCAAGGCTCTGGAAAGGAGTCAGATCATGTAACACCCTATAAGGCCATGCTCTTAATATAATGGGAAGTCTCTGGACAATTTGGGAGTTGGAATGGGGAAGGGGAATGACCTGTTTTTATTTTATAAATATCTCTAGAGATGCTTGTAGTAAGTACACTGCATGGGTGTAAGAGTAGAAATAAGGACTCTAGTTGGCTGTTAATAATATATAGTTTTTGAATCCCCAAAGCCTGAACGTCCTACCGTGCACTTTGAATCTCTCTGTCTGATATGGTCACTGCTTTTATTTCACAACCTCACAACCTCTCCACTTGTTTATTGCTTAAACATCAGTAATAAACATTTGTTGAAATTCATTTAACTTGAAAATATGATTTGTGCTTAACAGCTTCTTAAAGATAACATCTTACCTCAATCAGTCAAAGGAATTTTTTTTCTGTAATCACTTATCTCATTTTCCTCCTGCAGGGATTCCAATCACCCTTCAGTCCCTTATCACTATTACGAACCTTTTGGGCCAGATGAATGTACAATGTACCTCTCCCATGAGCGAGGGCGGAAGGGCAGTCATCACCGCTTCATCACGGAGAAACGAGTCTTTAAGAACTGGGCACGGACATTCAATATTCACTTTTTTCAACCAGACTGGAAACCAGAGTCACTTGCTATAAATCATCCTGAGACTAAACCTATGTTCTGAGGAAGGGGTACGCCAGACTGAGATCCCTGGTGTATCAGACACCAGGCTGCTGGACTTCCTGAGCCCCAGACACGAAAGAGGAACAGACTGGCTGGAAATAGCGTCACTCCTCAAGAAGTACCATGTGCAGATGCCTACAAGACGTGACTATAGAGCAGTGCAGTTGGCTTCCAGGAAAATGCCAGAATTAATACATTCTAATGAGTGTTCTCCTTTCAAAAAGGGAGAACACTTATTTCAATGATGCTGCCATGGCTAAAAACATCTTGAATCTCTTTAAGTATTGCCTTCAAAACTGAAACGTGAGCTACTCAGCAGTATTTATTAGTTGTATTCCTTTATAGAAATGCCACATCAAAAAACAGTTTTCTATCCAGTTATATCCTGACCTGACCTATAACCTTTGTCATCTGTTGGACCCTGTGTGTGTGGTTTGTAAAAAGCAGCCTGCAAGTGTGGACATGGTTTCCAAAGAGCACATCTCCACGGACTTTCATAAAGCAGATGCCCGATATTTATTTATTGAGAGTTTTGTAGTGTACTCTAGGCCAGTATTTTTATAGATTATTATGTGGTAAGTTCTCTTTATCTTTATTTAGGTAATTTATTCTAACTCTTGAATCCCAAACAACGGTCAGAAAAAGCCTGGAATGGGTTGATGAGCTACCGTGCTCACAGTGCTCGCTGTTAGCGCGCTGTTGGAATTTCGCCCGGAAATGTTGTCTTGCATTTTCTGAACCCTTGGGCTTCAAGAATAGCTATAACATTTTCCAAGGTACAGAAATGCTCCAAATGACAAAATTGAAAACCCAAAACTGTGTCACACAAAAAGATACTAAGAAGAAAAACTTAAAGATAGTTTTCTTTAGTAATAACTGATGTAGGCCACTTCGCTTAAGCCCTAGTTTCCTCTTCTGCAGAATGATGTCACTGTACTAGACGACCTCTTACATTTCATTCCAAGCCTAAAATTCTACGAGCCTCCTGTTGAGCCATTTGAGGACTTTGAACTTGGGATGATGGGGCTCCCACAGTAGCAGGGGCCTTTTTAAAGAGCCTTTTATATTGCCCTACTAACTATCTCCCTCTTGTGGTTAAAAGCATACTTTCTCCCTGGTTCTCCTTAACTAAAATCTACTCCCCCTTAGAGAGAGAGCATTTCCATGGTGTTGCCTGGCTACAAGAACAAGGGACTGACATTCTGTGAGTCTGTCAGGAGAAGGGAATGCAAGGAGATTCCCTATCATATCACTCATTAATCCTATGAACTATTTAGATTCACTCACTGCAAATCTTACATCATATTTACTACCATTTGTTCTCTGATGGGGAGGAGTGTGAAGAACTTATTTTATTCAGAGCCAAAGCTAGTTGGTATGAAAGATTTTCATTTAAGCAAGTAATATTGTTCAAAAATAGTCTTTTAAAAAATGTAACAGTCTTTTCTTTACCCATGGCTTAGGAAGCATTAGTTTCTCTAATGCCAAATCTGAAGGCACCAGAGAATATCATGTATGAAGATTGACGTTGTTTTACAGAAAATGACCTGGCTTGTGATTAAAGGAGTTGTCTCACATTACCAGTTCTTTTCCCTGTCCTTCAGCAGTACGAAGATTCCATGTCCCTGCACAAACTAGTACTATTAATTATCTGGAGTGTTGTCGTTGAAATGCAAACACAGGCTAGATATTTACATAGCAAACCAAAGTTGGTATCTTCGTGGTGTGGCTTGAGCTGTTAAAAGCCAGGACAATTGAAATGTCTGTTTAAAACATACTGGAATGTGTTCTATAAATTTTCTCATAGTTTGTAAAGAGAATTTTATTCCAGTACAATCTCTTCCGCAGCATGGACTCTGAATGCATAATGCTTTATGAACATATGAAAAGTGTATAAATTTCAGATAATTGACTTACAGGCAACCCTTACCATCACTTGAAGGGATTATGTTGTTCAGATGTAAGTAGCTCCTTTAACCACTTTCATTTTTATGAAAAATTAGAAAGGAGTACTTGGGAAATGCAAAGAGGTATACATTACTAATCTAGTAATATCTCAAATATCCGTGTTATCTTCAAGTTTTAGGGTTTGTTTGTTTCTTAAAGACCTCATCATAGCTTCATATTTTTTTTTGTAACTCCTCCCTCTCAAATACTCAAAAGAGTGAAAAACAACCAAATTCTGAAATTTCTGGCTTCACTGGGAAATATTTTAAATATGCGTGTAGCTAGGACATGTGAGTGTGTGAATTTATCTTTTTTAAAATGTGGTATAAATAAATGTAAGAAATTATCTCTTAGGCAGTGGTTTTATTACAGCATTTAAAGAAAATGCCTAGAATTCTGATAGATTGTGCTGATGGACCTGGTCGTGGGCAATTGAATCCTTACATTGCCACTATTTCATAACTATCGGTCTTAATGCCATTCAACACCATTAAACATCAACTCTCATATGAAAGGTGACTATAAAACCATGTTGACAGACCTCAGCGATTTCAGTATCTGATTGTGTTTGAAGCCTAAGTCATACTCATTATGTTACAGACCTTTTTTCTCCTCTCCCCAGCTGTGTCATCAGCTTCCTCCCAGCTTTAAGACCACAGCAGCTCAAGGCCACAGCTGGATGGTCCATGGTGTCTGTTATGTCAATGCAGCAACACTTGGCAGAGGCCGTTACAATAGATAGCCATTATGGGCAAAGATACAGGAATTCACAAACAAAATCAATCGCCTCAAATGGCCCATGAAAAGAGGAACTTACATTTAATATTTTACAGTAAATATTCACCCAAGAAAGCGTACATTAAAAGAACATTAGGAGGTGAATATTCAGTGTGCTGAGCGAGGTCTTCGCTGTGTGATTGCCATTGCAGTTGATGGGTGTCTGATAACTGAGTCCCCGCGCTTCACTAACCCTGGTATGGGCTCCTAAGGGCTAGAAGTAACACCAGAGTGATTCAGGAGCTTCCTAGGCTTTCAAAGTTAGAGCTTTTCTTCAAAAAAATAAATGAAAGCAAAACACAAAGCACTGTACCTAAAAGAGAAATTTGTGTGTGGTCTCTTGGAGTCTTTAGGTGACTGCTAAATATGTGTATCAGATCCCTGACAACACTTCTCAAGACAGATTACCTTTGTTATCTGAAATTCTCTCCATTACTGATCTATTTGAGTTACATTTAAATGGAAGGCTAAAGCCTTATTTTGAAATCAATGTCCTTCACTCTCCCCCCCGCCCCGAAAGATTAAAAATATTGATTTAGAAGCTAAATGAATGCTAGTTAAAAGTGGAAGGAAAACCTGAAATTCTGTTAGGACTAAGACAGTGTTATTTAAACACTTAAGTACCTATTTATAATAAACCAAATATTTGCCCTCATGTAGGCATGACCTTGTTTTAGAAGTATACCCTGGATTCCATGGGGCAATGATTCAGAATGTCCAATGGACCTACCCTGAGAGAAGGTCTGCTTTCCCATTCTCTTATGCATTGTTAGGAGGTGATGTTAACATGCCTGCATATTTCATACCTGACCCAATCCCTTCTTCCATCCTCGCTGCTTCTCTCTTGAACCTCATTTTGTCTTATTGCTGTCATTGTCTTCCAATTGTCTTTTTTTGTCTACAGTGTGCTCTTAAACCAGCAGTCTTTGGGTTGTTAAGGTCTCCCTTGTAGGTTTTTAGACTAAAGACCTATCTAGGGAACAGATTTGGGGTGGGTTCTGCCAGAACTATGACCATATTAAGCGAGAGGATTATGTCTGGCTATGGGACAAAGGTCTTTAGAAATACCATCCTGGTTTCCAGGGGAGGAGGGGACAGGAGGACTTCCAAGACATGGACTTCTGGTGCTAAAACCAGGATAGTCCTAGGCAAACCAGGATAGTGGGTCACCCTATCAGAAGGCCACCTCAAAGAGAACTATGATACGAAGGCCTTGGAGGGAAAAGTGAACCCATTGCCTAGGTTCTAGCACATGCCAGAAGATAATTTGGAACGAAGAGAGGTGGTAGAGTGTCCACAAGATTTAAACACAAACAGGAGTAACCCCTCTATTCTAGTTCACTCATCCCCACCAACTCAGGGTATTGAGCCACCATGGAAATGCAAAAAAAAAAAAAAAAAAGGCTGTACTCCTGTTTGTTTCTACTCAGAGCCCTAATGTTATATGCTACCTTGGGTTGTTCTTTGTCTTTTTATGTATGTGTCCTGTTAGTCTAATTAGATTGTAAGCTCTTTGAGAGCAGGGAGCATTTCTCCTTTGTCTTTGTAGCCTCATGCCTAGTACAGTGCCTTGCACACAATAGGCACTCAATAAATGTCTGTTGTTGATAACCTCTTTTTTTCAAAAATATGTTTTTATTTATTTCAGAGAGAGAAAGGGAGAGAGAGACAGAAACATCAATGATGAGAGAGAGTCAATGATCTGTTGCCTCCTGCACACCTCCTACTGGGAATCGAGCCCACAACCCGAGCATGTGCCCTGACCGGGAATCGAACCCTGACCTCCTGGTTCATAGGTCGATGCTCAACCACTGAGCCACGCTGGCTGGGCAGATAATAACCTCTTAATGTTGACCTATTGGGATGGTAATTGATATATGTTCTTCCTTTTAAGAGGTACAGGAGACAGAATAGGTGATAAAATATTTAAATTTTAAGTGGTGTTTATAAGATCAGTCCTTAAACTTACAATGTTTTTAATCAGCAGAGCTTACCTATATTTGGCTAGAATGTTGCCTAATTCGTTGGGTTTGCTAATGCTGGCTGTACCGAACTCACAGATGAAGTTCAGCAAGCTTTGTGTCCTCGCTGTTAGTGGCACAAGTTAAATTCAGTATTGGCAAATGCTATACCATATGCAGAAAGGGGGAAGGGCAGCATTGGCTCTGACTTTTGTGATTCAACTACAAAAGGGAGGCTAGACTGAGACGAATTACAGACTGCCTTGAAACTGACAGCTTCCAAAACTGCTGGAAATCCAATTGGTGGTTACTGAGGGTCTCTAAAAATTCAGTGTACATTTATTTTAAAAACAAAATGAAAGCAAAAAACAAAACCCTTGTGTTTCTATGAAGCGATCCAAACCGGTTTCATCTCTACCCAAATGTGAGGGAAAGAAGAGCTCCTGGGAAAAGGTGGAGCATCCCAGGCTCCTGAGTTAACATCTGGCCAGCACCTGGTGTTCAGTTAGCGCCAGGTGACATGTGAGGGCAAGAT